CACACACACACACACAGCCTCAAGGAGCGCAGGAGAAAGCTGTCCGTCTGCATCACAGTACCCGCTGCAGACGAGGGTGAACCTCCAGCTCTGGGCTTTATGGAGGTACTGTGGTACTCCTACACAATATACATGAACCGACATGGCGTCTAACCTATTACACAGAAGCTACAGTGACGACGTCCTGGGTGTTGTTATACACCCTACCCTGGAAGCAACTGCAGTATCGCATTTTTAAAATGCTAGCTGTCATTTGGCGCATATAAAACGTGCATCTACAAGGTCTAAAAAGTTTCTATATTTATGTCGGTTTCCGTGCAGACGTGTGACAGTTCCCACCAGCCAAACAGGCGACAATCCCTTCCATCGGTCCAAATCCCATCAGATTTGCACGCCATGAATATATTAAATACGTACAGTGGATGAATTACAGAGCAAGCTCCAAATGTCAAACAGACAAGGGGAAGGGAAAAAGTAAATCTGATCCAAAGTATGAGGCTAGTTAGAAAATCCCCAAATGATACAGAAAGAGCATTTAATATTTTATTCTCTGCCATTCTCTCTCTCTTTGTTGCTAATACCACCCTCCCTCCAACAGTGGAAGGTGTTTCTCTGTGGACATGAATATGTTGATGACAATTGGACTTGACAGTGACCAGGGCCTGATGGAGGAAAGCGGAGAGAAATAAAGAGAAAGGGTTAGAGAGATGATGACACAAGAGCAGAAGGGAAAAAGTCACGAACGCTTTGTTTTTTCCCGTACTAAGGGAGAGCAGGATGAGGGCAGGAAGGGCCAACACTGCCACCACATTCTCAGTGTTCCCACTCGCTGTGGAACTCCATCTGATAGTACGCTCGGGGATAAAGTGTGAGGGCAGGCAGTTACATGTGTGTGGCTAAGTTTTAATGGTCATCCCTCCCTGGTGTAAGGTCATATGGGTGAAGGCCCAGGTGTATAGCATTTCAATGTTGACAGAGGCATGAGCACAAACTCGCCCAAACATATGAGCAGAGAGTAGGCGTCGTGTCTGGCCAAGCAGTTACCGCAAGTTTCACTCACACGCATCACTCAAAAGAAAATGTAAAAACAAACAAACATCAAATGGCCGCGTTATTCAAGCATCTCACCACAAACTGGCAATGTAACAAAAGATAGTATTGCTTCATCTGAATAAAACCTTGCAATTAGAAGTGTAACTCTACCATGAAGACAAGTGCTGCCAAAATCATCTCAGTGACGGAACAAAGCTCAATATTAACTGTAGTGGATGGCTCTTTCCGCTCGCTGGCTTCCTGCTCTGCACCGAGGGTTTGACATTCTTCTCGTGGATGTCGATATGCTGTTAGAAAAGGCGACCTCCATTTTAAGCCACAGGAATGTAGAGACAATGGAAAGCCAAGCGGGTGAGTTATCAGAAGGGTGCAGGGCCATTGAGCCTGCCAGGAACTCCACTCAGTACAGCCAGAGGAGTAGGATGGATACAGTGCCCTCACTGCCAAATGCATCCGCTCTTCACCTCCTCTTGCTAAACTATTTAGCCTCCTCCGCACCTACTAAAAAAAGATAGTTTTCATTCCCGCTGTTACATCAACTCCACTGGCCTTCCAGCCTGAGGTCTTTAACAAAAAAAAGTAATGTCTGGGAAACACCATGGCTTGTCAACAGGATTTCCCAGACTCCGCACCCTCTACAAGACCTGGAAGCAGCCGCTAGTGACAGCAGAATGTATTGAAATTTACCATGCTTTAATAATTATCATAATTAATGCATGAACAAAAAGTGTCTTTCCAAGTGTTGATCCAACCACAACGAGAAACAGAGCAACAGGGCAATCTGGGGTTGAACCAAACTATTTAAAAAAGTATGTCTATCTACCAGCTCTATTTAATTATGCACTACTGTCAGCATCCATCTGGTTTTCAACAGAAAACAGGCAGAAACTATGGGTTTTGCTGACTTGGAGACTCCCAGCTGTCTCCTTTTCTCTTTGCCGCACCTTCATTTCCTCTGCTCATTTACAGCATTAGAAGATTAGAAACAGTGGGACCCTTTGGTGGACAAACTCTTTTCCTCACTCCTGTGCTTCGGTCTCGTTTTATCTCTGTTTTCGCAAAGTTTCTTAAACAAACACACAAATACAGAGCAACGCATACAGCATACACAAACATAGTTCGTGCGCAAACACAGAAAGAGACAGACAAGCACACGTACACACAAAGCCCCCTTCAGGACAAGGGCTTACACTGACATTAAAGGGCCTTTGTTTAGCCCCAGTTATCGCTACTCCACAGGCGGGTTATGCTGTGAGCATATCTACGTCTATGCCACTGTGTGTTTTAGGAGCGCGAGTGTGTGAGTGAAACCACAATGTACGAAGTGAACTCTTGCAGACACCCTCGGCACCCAGAGCTGATTGTCACATGGGTTTGTGTGCATGTGCGCTGTGGTTTGTTTTTTGCGGGAACAACTGAGAAACAACAGCAGTTCCACCAACAATGCTCAGAGAAGCAGAACAATTGTGCCTTTGATGGCGCTTGTTTGTGGTGGTGGGGAGACAGGAAATGAGATCATGCTGAGGGCTCTGGTTGTGTGAGCGCGGAGCTTATCGAAGAGCAGGGCCCAGGCCAGGAGGAGAATACCAATCACTTATTAGCCGGCCTCGTCGGGTTTATGGAAATGAGGAACAGTTCATTCAGTGCAATGTATCAAAGCAAGGTGGAGTCTGTGGTTACACCAGGCACTGCCATCTCTCCTCTGCTTTCTATCTCTCCCCATCTTTTCATTCTTCCTCTGACTTACTTGATTCTAACTCTCCCTTAATGTTACAAAGTATCATTGTGAAACAGCTCATACCAAAGTAATGGCTAACCATTTATCACAGCACAACTCCCCTTTCCTCATACCTAAGACGTCTCATTTCACCTCAAGTTACGGTATTTAAAGGTTTCACAGAGAGGGCATAGAGTTGAACAGTGCTATTAGTTGCCAAAATAACTCTCTCCTTTAACGCCTCCTCTTTTCAGTTTCTGGAAACTGAACGGGCTTCCTATTCCTCTTTGTCTTAGTACACAGGATCTTGCCTTTCCTCTCTCGCATTATCTGTCATCCTCCCGTAGTGCAAAGGTCTCAAACAGCAGAAATCGATGCTTCTCTCCGACTCCGCACAACCTCCCTAGCTACCAGCCGGCTGTCTGCCTTTCATCGCTCATTCATCTTTGGGCAGAAATGTTCCATCATTCCATTAATTCATCACACTTACCTTTGGCTTTGTGGCCTGACCC